TTAATTAAAATACAACACTCATTGATTTACACCTAATTTCTGAACTGATCCTGAGGGCTGATGCAAAGTTTCAGTTGCGGATGTGACGTAAAGAAAACAACTTCAAAATAAAGCAGCATACAATCTGACACGTTTTTTTTAATCGAATAAACAACGATTTTAAAACGTAGTTTTAAGTTAGTGTCAGACTCATTTGTAATATTGGTTATTTGTTTAATAACTGTAATTTTAAGATATTTTTTAAATCAGCTCTGCTAACTGTAACTCTGCGTGCTCTTATTTTGAAGAAGACAAACCCAGCAGTTCCGGTGTGTGAGCTCTGTGAGCTCGTGTGCGTTGCATCAGTTTGAGCAGGAAGCCGAGCAGTTTCKTTCAACAAACCGGTGAGTTTCATGTCCTGTCGGTGGTTTTATTCTMTTCTCCGCAGGGAAACAAAAATAACTAAACTAACTTCGACCGGAAGAYCTTGACTTTAAATGTTTGTTAAATATTTTCAGAGTGAATGGAGAGAAGAGGACCCCTCACTACAACATATGTCTGCATTATTGTCTGAATGAACATATGGCTTTTCTTCTCTACGTTTTTCTGCATCTAACTCGTTCCACAATTTATTATTATTATTATTATTATTATTATTATTATTTTATTTATTTATTTATTTATTTTACTTATTATTAGCTATTTCACTTTTATAGCCACTTTTTTGCCATTAAAAATGAATGGAGCTGTTTTCAGCATCATTAAACTCCTTTAAAATGTTTCTAAATCTTTACAGCACCTTACACATTTTGTTCTGGTTATGCTCCTTTTCACTTTCTTGTGCTAATTTTAGCTACTTTATAAAACAAATTTCTGCTTTTTTCCACTATTCTTCTGCTTTTTCCTCAACTTTTGTGCTTTTTTGTACTACTTTGTGCTATTTAGGCTTCTTAAAGTCAGCTATTTGCTGAAGTTTTGGCTAATGTTTAGCTGCTATTAGGCTAGTAGCAGCTAAACAAAGCTAATGTTAGCTAATAGTATTAGCTAACATTAGCTTTTTTCTAAGGTAAATACACATTTTTTGTAGCTATCAGTTTTTTTGACTGAGTTCAGCAAACTAATGTTCGTTATGCTAATTAAAACATTTTCAGCTACTTTTTAGCTGTTTTACTAAAGAAATTCACCTGTTTTAATTATCACTTTTATTTTAAGATATTTTTCTGCTTTTTTCTGTTTTAGCTATTTTTCAACTTTAAGTATTTAAACTGGGTGCTAATTTCAAATTGTGGCTGCTACCTTTAGCTTATTTTCTGCTAATTTTAGCTATTTTGTGTTACTTTAGTATAGATCATCTTCTTTCTGCTGTTCTGCTTTTTTCTACTTTTTATACCTAATGCTATTTGTGCCTCTAACAGATGTTTTCAGCTGTATTCAGCTATTTTAGCTCTTAGCTTTTAGCTGTTTTCCAGTTTCAACTAGATTTGTGCTCCTTTTTTACTGGTTTTCTGCAAAGTTAGGCTTGTTTGAAGTGAGTTCACATTAACACTTTTACTGTTAAGTATTTTCAGCTCAGTTTCAGCAGCTTTCAGCTAAAGTTTTCAGCATTCACACTAGCATTTTCACAGGAAATGCAGTTTCTCTTGTTATAGTTGTTGTTGCAGAACTCGTCTCAAACTGCAGAAATCCTGACAGAAAACTGGTGAAACACCAGTTTCTTCCTGTCGGTTTAAAGTATCTTCCTGTTTCTGGTCAAACATACAAAAAGACCCTTCAGAGAAGGTCCACAAGTTGTAGACCCCGGACCTAAAACTTTATTTCTCTGTTGTTAGATTAATGGATATCTGCATTAATTATTAGAATATAACATGTTTCATTTAGTTGCTTCCTTCCTGATTGACAGAGTCATGATTGCACCGTTGTGAAGCTGCTATATTTAGGGATGTTGACATGTCYTCAGCAGCTGCTGCCATCTTCTTCCCAAACTGCTGTGGCCAGATTTTGCAAGGCTGCTCTGTGTGTTTGTTTATTTCCTCCTGCTTCGTTATTTCTACGAGTTTCAACAAACCGTGCTGACGTCAGGTAGTTAGCCACAGCCTCGTCTTCCAGTTTTTAATTTTTGTTGATGTGTTTTTGAAGAGACAATTTTTTTTGGAAAGCGTATCAAAGTAAATCACCCGAGTTTTTCTAGTGAACCTTAAAGAGATAAGCTGCCATGTAGGGGTGTAAGAAAATATCGATACACTGAAATATCGCGATATTTCATTTCCTGATACTGTATCGATATTCTAAAGCCCTGTATCGATTTTTAATTAAGGTTTAAAATGTCAACTTTCCTGCCAGCCGTTCATTTTTATGTTGTAGTTCAGCCTCTGACCACTAGTTGGCAGCAGTGAGCCAGACACTTGGTTTGCTATTGTTAAGTGTTGGGTGACCATATTG